TTGGGTGCTCCATAAAGGAGAATCAGAAAGCCTGCTGGAAGGAATCATGCACGTGAGGGTTCTCACTACACAGTACCTGCATACCAGGCCCCCAGTGATCCCTTATTACAGAAACTGGTGGGGGGGGGGGGGCCTCCTTTGAACAACTTACAATTCAATTTTCAGAACAATTAAGGCATCTGTCAAACTGTTTACCTGAGTCATTTTGGCACTTTTGGAATTCTAACTTAGTGCCTGGAACTTCAAAGCGTAGAAAAGTTCATATTCGGCTCCTATCCTCATCCCTTAGACCAAAGGCTCTAAATTTGGGTCTTATTCTTTATAGTTCAGAACAGAATTTATTTAACTAGCACTGACGTTCTTATTTAAAAATAAAGGAGGTGGGGGAATCGAGTTAAGCTCCAAAGTCTGTCCGAGAGGTGGGACAGTCATCAAGCACCGACTTGCCTTCCAAGAACAAACATGTCTCTGGCTCACTTTTCACGTGGCTGTGACAGGGACGGCCTTATTTTCTTCCCGTAGCAAGCTGGAGGAACGATTTAATCTACTGGGAGATACTTGTAAGTTAAAACGCTTCTCGGGTTTGTCAGCCAAGTTGCTGGGGCTTTCTGTAAGTTAACAGATAGGCAGATGTCACAAAAGAGGGCACTGGGGGCTCAGAACTGAGGGGAACTCCGAAAAGCGTTGGTACACGACCTCTGGGTCTTCCCATTCTCACTCGCCGAGAACTGAACTTCAACTTTAGGTTCCCCAGGGAACCTCTGCTGACCCCCGCGCCCACAGCTCTCCTACAGGGGTCCCCGTCCCAGCCTTCGAGGAAGCCGCGACCGTTGCCTCCCACCCCGCCGTGAGCACTCACTGCTCGGCCGGGCATAGCGTCGCAGGTCGGGGCTGCCCGCCAGCCACCGCCTTCCCGACCTCGCGTGCCGCGGGTCTCGTGGGGCCCGGGGACTCGGCGCCCGCCTCCCTCGCCGGCTTCTCCGCGCAGCTCGCGCCCGGCCAAGCTCCGGGCTGAGGCATGGCTCGCCGTCTCATGCGGCTAGCGCCGCACTGGTCCGAGCGGTCCCAGCCTTCCGGTCCAGCGCCCAGAGTGGCTGTCCCAGATCAGCTCCCGGCGCCTCTCAAACGTATGCTGGGCGCTTCCGCGCGCGTCACTGCGGCGCGCCCCACGGTCTCTGACGCTAAGGGAGGGGCCTTGAGAGCCAGGAAACCTTGACCCGACGATGGAGTTTGCGCTTGCGCGGGCTGAGCCGCCCTTCACCGCGCATGATCCGCTCCGCGCCGTTATTGGCCCAGACAAGCCTTGGTCTCAGGATTGCTGACGGGCCCCGGGAAGGAGCGGGTGGGACCGAGCAGCTGGAGGGGGTAGGGAGTGCCAGGACGCGTCCTGGCCGGAATGAGGAAGATGGCATTGAACCTTGAGGGCGCCAACGTGTTAGAACGACTTTCAATGACACTTGGCTTCCGAGCGTCGTGGTTCGCAGGCGGAATTTCCTGGCTGTTGAGCGAGGGATGTGGGCAGAAATGTTGCTGCGGCTTCCCGGAGCCCACTGGTTTTGGCCTTCACTGTGAAGGCACGTTGACTCTAGAGCTTGGAGTTACCGTCCCACCAATCCGGCAGCGGACGGGAGAGGCAAACGGATTCAAGTCAACAAAGTGGAGCAGGCTCAGCGCAGCGTGTGTTCTTGGGTTGTTAGTTGCCGTTTTATCAGTTCCCCACTTGGGCGAAGTAGAACTGCTCCGTAGGGTTTTCAAGGTTATGACCTTTCGGAAGCATATCGCCAGGCCTATCTTCTGTGGCACTTGTTGGTGGGTTTCAGACGCCAACCTTTGGCTAATCAAGCGCTGAACCCTTTGCTCCATGCAGGGATTTCTGTCTTGGATTATATTTTTTCAAATAGAAATTGTGATCTAAGAGGAGCAAGTGCGAAGGAAAAATATGAACAGACTTCAAAGATCAGAAGAAGAAACGTTTCATCTCTGGGGATGTGAGCTGAGGAGTAGCCTGTAAAGATGAGTAGCAATCCTGGATGCAGGAGCATTACTCAAGCAAAGAGCGCAGGACCAAAGATTGGAAAGGACAGCATGGGCAGTTGAGAAACCTGCTAGTTCAGGATGGCACTTACAGGAATAGGTTGTGGGTAGCAGGGCATTTTATTGCGAGATGTTACTGGAAATGGGATCCTGGCCACCAGATCATGAAAAACCATGTTAGCAACCAAGGAGCTTGCCCTTGGTCCACATTGAAAGATTTTGTTAGCTGCCTTCAAGTCCAACCTACAAGACTTCATGACCAGTTGCAGAAACAGAACTGTAATAGTTATTTCTTCCTTACTTTCTTAGGAAATTTTTATGTTTAGAGTAGCCAAATATTTTTGTTTTCTTCTTTTCTTATCCCCTTATTATCCACGTGTTGTTGTTGCTGTTAGGTGCCATGGAGTTGGCTCCAACTCATAGTGACCTTTTGTACAACAGAATGAAACACTGCCTGGTCCTGTGCCAGCCTCGCCATTCTTACTATACCACCACTCATCTGTCAATTTGTTCTACTGTGGTGGCTTGCCTGCTGCAGTGAGGCCTGAGGCTATGCCACTAGTATTTCAAATATTTCAAATGTCACCCATGGTGGACAGATTTCAGTGGAGCTTCCAGACTAAGACAGACTCAGAAGAAGGAAAGGGCCATCCACTTCTCAGAGAATTGGCCAGTGGAAACCTTATGAATAGCCGTGAAACACTGTCTGATATATTACTGAAAAACTTTATGAAACTTTATCATTAAACATAAGGTATATTAATAATAAACTCACTGCCATTTATTTGATTCTGACTCATAGCAACCCCTCCATTGGGTTTCCAAAGCTGGAAGACTTTACAGAAGCAGACTCCCTCATCTTTTTTCCTTGGAGCAGCTGGTAGGTTTGAACCACCAACCTTTTGGTTAGCAGTCAAATGTCTTAGTCACTACACTACAAGAGCATATTAATAATAGTTAACTTTCTATCTCAAAATTTCAGTTACAGCATATTAAAGGATAAAAGTCAGCATCATTCAAGGACTTTGCAGCCTGGTCAGGGGAAAGGGTCAGTGTGCTTGTGCAGTGTAGTAAATTACTTAGTGTGGCTTTTCTACCCATAAGTCTTTGTAAACTCCAAGGTGGGATTTTCTATGAGCAACTGAGGAGCTCCTGATTGCTGAAGTTGTCCACCTGGAGTGTTTCTGTTGGGAATGGCACAAAACAATGTTCTGGGAGGTGCCCA